CGGTTTGGATGTGATTTCTGCCAGTATTTAGGAACCAGAGACTGATGGGTGCTGTGGAGTCAGGATGTCTTCCTACCAGCCCTGTAATCACAGTAAATGGAACCAACTTGGAACCAACTGCTTCTGACACGGTATGTTCATATAATTCTGAATTCCCATAACAGAAAGTACAGACTTAGCAGGCTGTGCTAAATACATGAAGTTGTCTGCACAAAAGTTGAAGGGAACTATGCTAATTATTATGTTGCCTTCCTCCACTGCCAAAAATCACTGATTTTGCTCTTTGTTGAAATAGTTGCAGCATTTCCTTAACTTCATATTTAGGAAATTCCTTTGAAACAGCAAAAAAAGCCAAAAAAAGGTAGGACAATTAGTAAGCTCAATACCACTCACACCACGGGGATGAGCTAAAAATGGGCAGAGAACCTGAAGGTACAGAAGACACAGCAGCATCAGTTTTTACATTAGTCCTTTCACCTCAGAGATAAGCCAGAACACTTCCTCTTGATGGAAGCTATTAATCCTTCTAAAGACGAGATTTCTGACTATCATGGCTTTCAGCCTGGCACACTTTACAGAATTTCCTTCATAGATAAACCTATGAAATTTCTGGTTGGAATTAATAGAGAGCAGCAGAGTACCATTGTGCAGTGAAGGGACTGTTAGCTTTTATAAATGCTTACCATATAAAATGTGATACATTATATAGTAAGCATAAAAGCTTTAATTGCTATAAATGCACGTTGATTCTGTGCATTTATATACTGAAGCCAGAGTTGCCCAAAAGAAACAAAAAGGAAGGGAGCAGCAGGCAAGTTTGTTTCTGGCAGGAGTGGCCTGTGCTTACGTGCGTTTGAAGGAATTGCACAGATTTGGGCAGCAAGAGACAAATGTCCCTTCTGCCATTAAGTGGCAGCTGGCATTTTTCTGAGACTCCTGAGAGACACCTTGGAAATACCTTTGAGGGGTGGACTAATACTTGTTGTGGAATTTTAATATGTATTTGTTTAGTAATTCTAATCTCCCTTGGGCTCACCAGCAGAGCATCTAAACAGCAGGACTGTAAAACCTCCTTTATATTTGGTGTAAGCTGCAGTGTCATTGCACTTGCATAACCCTGTCTTGTGGCCATTATTAAAGAAAATGTGTTTCTGAACATGAACTTGAATAACTAGTTACTATGCAAGCACTGATTGCATGGTCCTCCCAGCAGTTCTAGCAGCCTTGGCAGCCACATGAGGAAATTCTCATTGCCTAATCTTGCATCTAGAAACAAGCAATATGCAGTAATTGGCTGCCTAAGCTTTTTGCAACTGTTATTTTAAGATTTTTAGCTAGCAACAAAGAACATGAAACTTTCTGTTCTTTGCTTCTTGGGTTGAGGTACAATTATGCCATTGATGTGCTCATTATAATTTGTCTCCAGTAATCTTTAGGGACTCCAGAGAGCTGCTTCCATTAGACTATTAAGTTCAGGCTATACCAAGTATATCAATCAGAATTTCTCTTTAGAGATAAAACTGCATTAGAATCAGAGCACATTTATTTTTAATCCCATGCATGCACATCTTCCTCTGGGACTTTCTGTGGAATTGGTTAAAAAGGTAATACTCTTGTTTTCTGTTCAGACATCACTTTGCTGGTTGTTCAGTTGTGGGCTACCATGAGCTGAGGGTGTGGAAGAGATGATTTCATCAGCCCCAGAGCCAGGTCTGTTCCCAGCCAGGGCACACCCCACCCCTTCCAGTACAGAATGCTCCTGCAGCTCTGAAATGTGCAAGAGACTTTCCAAATAAATGTAATTTGGTCTTAAATTGTGGGAAGGTCTGTGGGGTTCTTGCTGCTATAGTGCTTTGTTTCATAAAGTACCCCAAAAAGTTTGGTTTATGATAGAGAAAAGCTGTCACCTTGCAGAGCAAGTGTGTAATCTCTAAAATGACTGAGAGTCCCTGAGGCTCCCAGGTAGTGCTCTTAGCATGTGAAGTGGTGTGAGGGCTTGTCAGGCCACTCAACAGGATCAGGAAAACTTAATTTCTTCTCTTTCTGTCACCATCACTGCCTTTAAAACAACTGAGTGAGATAAGTGGAAATCAATTTACTCCATACAAACATTTCTCTGGTTTCAACTCAGTTCTTTACTGGGCAATACTAGCTTCTCTGATTTACCAGATGAAGATCTGCCCTGACAAACCAGTCTTTATATTTGGGTTTTATTTGTTTAGGGGTTGGTTGGTTTTTTTTTTCTGTACTTCTGGCTTTTTTTTTAAACAGAACTGCTGAGCATTGTGTGAATTTCCAATTAGTGGCAGGAGTAATCAAGGGATGTCAAAGGCTTCTATACGAAGCAGCTAACAGGTAACTTTTTAGAGAATTATATTGAGAATTACCCTGAGAGGATTCATGGCAAAATTGTTTTCCTGCAATTACAGGGATGGCAACAAAACCAGTGGTTCTGAGACCCACACTCCTCAGTGCTGGCCTGGTGATTTGGACTGGCCTATCTCAACAAGATGTGGAGGTGTTGGCTGGATGGCAGAGCTGTGTAGCCACTGTGGCT